CTGCAGCCCGCGGAGCCTCCCGCCCGCCCGGGCTGGGGTCGCGCCGGCTCGGACTCCCCTCCCGCCCGCCGCGGCCATGGAGGACGAGCGAAAGGACGGAGCCTACGGTAGGAGCCGCCTCTGGCCCGCGGCCGCCTCTGCCGAGTTGGGGGGCCTTGGGGGAGGGGGCCCTCGGAGATCGTAAACACCCCGCTGCAGCTGGGGCCCCCTCCTGCATCCCAGCCCTGCATCCCCCCTGCGCCGAGCCCACGCCCCCTGCTCCCGCCGGGTCGCCCCCCATGCCCTCCCCGGAGCCCCCGCTCCCTCTCCGGCGGATGGGCCGGGGCGCACGGCGCATGCTCCGCCCGGGGAGGTCCCGTTATCTGGGCGGCTCAGATGCCAGGCGGGGGAGGGGAGGCGCGGCGACCGGGGCTCGGGAAAAGGAAGGGCCCCGACCTCCCCAAATCCCCCTTCTCTTCCAGTCCCCTTTGTCCACGTCTTCCTCCTGCCCACATCCCCCTAGAAGTCGCCGTCCCGGGCTTTCGGCCAGGTGGGGAAACTGAGGCAAGCCTGGGACCGACCAGATGCTGGGGTGGGAGCCCGTCGGGTCTTGCCAGCCGCCTGGGAAGGGCAGGAACAAGGGCGCCTCCGGGGAGGGGGCAGGAAGGAAGCCGGAAACAACTGAGAAACTTTCCCCGCCTTATGCAAGAGGTTGGGGGTCCTGGCGACTGGGACGCCCTCCTGCGAACCTCTAGGGGCGGCCTTCGCCTCCGGACCCCGGGGATGGGGCCAAGATGAGACCCCTTCCCCTCCGACGCCCTATAATGCATCCCTTCCCCGGGTTCCCACAGTGGTGGGCGCGGTCCTCAGTTTCTCCTTTCTCTTCTCCATTTTGGGTTCCCAGGGCTGAGTTGGGCACGTACCCGCGAGGCACTGCCTTGGGGTGAAGGGGCCCTGCAGCCCCTCCTTATGTGACAAGGACTTCCTGGAAACTGTGAGGCTAAAGGGCCTTGGGGAGGGGGCCGGAAACAGCTCAAAAATAATCAAGAAAAACAAGCCGGCTAGAGCTGTGCCTCCCTGCCCCCAGGGATTGTGGCCTCGGAAGGCTGCAGAAAGAGACAGACCCGGGAGGCTGGGACCCTCCCTACCCAGCCCAGCCAAGAGGAAGGCACCAGGATCTGGCCACCGCCCAGCCGCTCCCCTCCCTGCTTGGAGCTGCCAGCCAGGACCCCCTGAGGGGGCCCCCTTGCGCTTGGTTTTGGCTCAAGCCCCAGAGCCTGCGGCTGGCTGCCAGGGCTCTGTGTCCCTTGGGTGTGGCGGGCTATCTCTGATCTGGGGATCTCAGCCTGGGGTCCTGGCCAGGCCCTGTCCGCCTGTGAGTAGCACCTGAGGGGTCTCTGGTCTCCCTGAGGCCGGGCTGGGGTGGGGGTGAGGGGCAGAGCGCACAATGATCCGATTCACCCAGGCTTGAATTTGGCCAAAGGGAGCCAGCCACAGATCGGCCTGAGCAAACCCTCCCAGGCCCTGCCAGGCCCACAGCCGACACAGGGGCCTTCTGTGCCCAATAGACCTTGTGCTGGGTGCCCGGAGCACATGCCATCAACGAGGATTTGTTGAGCATCTTACAGGCGGGGTGTAGACAGGAGAACACAGCGGTGAACCAAACGGAAAATCTTTGACTACATATGTAATTTTAGGTTATTGTAGGTGTTGTGAAGCAAAAAACAGGACACCGTGTGTGTGTGTGTGTGTGGGGGGGGGTGGTTTAGAATCATCTGGGATTATTTTAGGTGACCAAGGGCTGGAGGTTGAGAAGATTTGGGACAAGTGTGTTCCAGGCACAGGGAACAGCAAACAAACCACACATTTACTTAAGTATTTCTCATTATGAGGCCCAGAGAGCCCGAGGTGGAGACTTCAACTGAGTCTTGACACCATTAGCCCTCACCTCCTCCAGAGGAGCCACATGGCTTGACTTTTCGAAGTGGGGTCTCACTGAGCTTATAAATGGTCCATTTTTATCAGAACCAAAGACGGGCCCTCGGGCTGCCCTGTGAAGTCCCTGACAGATACTGGGGGGCTTTCCTTTGGAACAGTGTGCAAGAGTGGCTCATATCCTTCCCTAGTGCCCCAATGCCTTCTGTGAATTAAGAGGGTGACATCAGGCAGACGCAGGCTCAAATCCTGGCTCTGATATTTACGAGCTGCATGTCCCTGGGTGAGTTGGTGACCTCTCTGAGACTCTGTATTCCCATCTGTAGGGCTGGGCAGATCTCACTTAATGGTGGGAAGTGTTTTGTCCAGTGCCTGGTAAATTCAATGTGGTCAGGAGGGCTTTGGGGCTGGCAATATTGGGGATGTGGATTTTCCGTGAGCTGGTGGAGAAACAGCCCTCTCTGTTAAGGCATAGACTCAGACCGGGCAGGGCAGGAAGCTCCTTCCTCAGCAGACACCATATCTAGGAGAAGGCAGCAGCCCCAAGGGAAACCATGAAATGGCTCCTGGCCCCGACGGATGTCAGCAATGGGCACTGCCATCCTTCCCAGCCCACCCTTGGCATGAGCAGCATAGGAAGAGATTCTAGACTCTAAAACAATAGGCGGAAAAGAACAGAAAAAAAGTAATGGTGCTTACTTAAAAAGCAGATTCCAGGGCTGGCCCAGTGGTGTAGCAGTTAAGCTCACGTGCTCCGCTTCAGCAGCCTGGGGGTTGCAGGTTCGCAGGTTCAGATCCTGGGTACAGACTGATGCACCATTTGTCAAGCCATTGGTGGCGTCTCATATAAAGTAGAGGAAGATGGGCATGGATGTTAGCCCAGGGCCAGTCTTCCTCAGCAAAAAGAGGAGGATTGGCAATAGATGTTAGCTCAGTGCTAGTCTTCCTCACAAAAAAAATAAATAAAATTAAAAATAAAAAGCAGATTGCATGGCTCCATTGGCCAGAGTCCAACTCAACTGGCAGTGGGGCCCTGGCATCTGGTTTTTTGAAAAATATTGTTTGGAGAGGGTATCTACTTGTTAACTGCAAGTTTATTCTTTTTTGTTGTTGTTGTTGAGGAAGATTCACCCTGAGCTAACATCTGTGCCAATCTTCCTCTATTTTGTATGTGGGTCACTGCCACAGTATGGCTTGATGAGCAGTGTATATGTCCGAAGGTCCCAAGATCCAAACCGCAAACCTGGGCCACGTGCCAAACTTAGCCACTACGCCACCGGGCCAGCCCCCCACGTTTATTCTTTTTGAAAGATAATACGTTCACATGCTTCAAAATATAAAAGATACAAAGACTTAATAGCTTTATCATGGAGTCTTCCTCTTGCTGCATCTCCCAGCACCACGCTCCTTTTTTGGAGAGCAACATCGTGTTGCAACATCATGTGTTTGCTTCCAAATGGAATCTAGGCCTGAGATCTTCACATGTAATTATATACATATTCTTTATTTAGTGGCTGCTTTTTTTTCCTTTTACAAAAATATCAGCATCTCCTTAGAGGGCTAGCTTCACAAGGCAGGAATGCATGTCTGTTTGGTTGGAAGGTATATCCGCAGCACCTGGCACGTAGTAGGCACTCCAAAAATATTTGTGGAATGAAAAGGTGTTTGTTTCACATGTTGCTTTTTTTTTTTGCTTAATATGTCTTGGAGACCATCTCTCCCATTAGCGCCTGGAAAGCTTCCTCCGTCTTTTTGGGCAGTTACATAAAGTAGTGCCTTTGTGGATGGACTATCCTATATTTAACCAATCAAGGGGAATATTTTAAACTTTTTATTGAAGCAGAAAATTCATACATAAAAGAGCACAGGTCCTAAATGTACAAGGCTCCAGGAGTGTTTACAAGGTGAATACACTCATGTAACCAGCACTCAGATTAGGAAAAAAACCTTACCAGCACCCCAGAAGCCCCTAATGCCCAAGGAGGGCCTATCAGTATTATTATTTTATTTTATTTTTATTTTTTTGTGGTAAAAAACATCATACAAAATTTACCATATTAACCATTTTTAAGTGTATGGTTCAGCAGTGTTAAGTATATTCACGTTGTTGTGCTGTGGCCTGTTTTTGTAAAGCCAATGGACTAAGAATGGCTGTTATATTTGTAAATAGTTGTTAAAAAGAAAAAGAAAAAGAGGGGCCGGCCCGGTGGCTTAGTGGTTAAGTTCACGTGCTCTGCTTCAGCTGCGTGGGGTTCACAGGTTCGAATCCCAGGTGCGGACCAATGCACCACTCATCAGGCCATGCTGTGGCAATGTCCCACATACAAAATAGGGGAAGATGGGCACAGATGTTAGCTCAGGGCCAATCTTCCTCACCAAAAAAAGAAAAAAAAAAAGAATACATGACAGAGATAATATGTGAACCACCAAGCTTAAAATTGTTAAGATCTGGCCCTGAACAGAAAAAATTTGCAGACCTCTGGTAAGAGCCTTCCCATCACCCCAGAAAGTTCTCTTATGCCCCTTTCCAGTCAATCCTGAAAGAGAGGGTTATTTTTAAGATTTTAAACTCTTCTATAACAAAATTAATATATTCTCTCTGTTGGCGGGGGAGCTGAAAATTAAACATAAGCCCTCGACCGCACAGAAGATTTTAGCCATCCATGTGAAAGAACCCTTCACACACCCTGGCCCGCTGTCTTCATCCCAGAGGTAACCCAGCCAAGAAGTCTCTTTCCAGAACCTCGCCTACTAATTTTCGTGTGTGTGTGTGGCATCTGCCTCTTTTTAAAGCTCCTCCGGCTGCTTTAATGAAAAATGATAAATGTTCCCAGTATGGGATACTATGTTGCCTGGTAAAAACATGCAGTAGATCTGACCCCACCTGTGGGAAACATTGTTTCATTGTGTTAGCCTGTGAAATAACAAAGGATGAGGAACAGCATGTGTGATGAACTGGGGAATAAATAGCTGCAAATCTGCTCGTGTGTGTGTCCTGTAGACAGCGTCTGGAAGGAGGAAAAGGAAACCAGTGAGAGGAACTGTCCCCAGGGAGAGGAAATGAAGGCTCCAGTCCAGGGGTGAGAGTGAGAGTGACCTTTTTTTAGTCTAAAGGCTTGTTCTGGTTGACTTTTTTTAATCTTGATAAGCATACAGGTTAATTCATATAAACAAATTCATTTGTAACTTCCTT